TCCTTGACAGCAGGGATTCTTTGTTGCTATTACTATTGTTTGGTCTTTTTTTATACCCCTGGCACTTAGCACAGAGCCTGGCACATAGCAGATTAGTTGATTGACTAACTGATATTTTAACCTTGGCATGACTAAGTATACAGGCCTCTGAAGGCTACCTAATTGGATGGTATGGAATTAGACTTGCCCTTTCTTTGGTACCAGGAAATCCTGATGAGTAAATTCTCTCTACCAAACCATCTTTGCAACTTCCCATCTTAGAGAGCTATCTGCAGCACCCAGAGTGGAGGTGACTTGCCCAGTGTCACTCAGCTATTATGTCAGATGTGGGATTTAAACCTAGGTCTTCCTAACCTTGAGGCCAGCTCTCTATCCACTCTGCCATTCACCCCTAATTATGCAGCAAATAAACTCTCGGGCATCCAGATGTATCACTTGCTCTTAAAAGAAATGCTCATCCCTTGAGTGATTCTGTTGGCATGAGTGAATCTTTAAAATAGAGGATTATGACACTTTCTTTCCATCATCCCAAATTTCTTTTAGCCCTTTCTGATGTCACACCTTTCAAAGGTCAAAGATAATTCACAAGAGTTTTGGAGAAGCCAACAGCTAACTTGGCAGAAGAAGGCAAAAATACCTGGGATGTCTGGTCTCTAACTCAGAGGTCAGCTCCTATGGGTAACCTTTCCTAATGCTCCTGTATTATTAGAGATCCTTCCTCCTGAAGTGACTTTGTGCACCCCCTCCCCTTGCTTGGCCACCTTCCCTCTTCCCAACTGGGGCCATCATTAGGCTGGGGTAGTGAGGGAAGAAGTCATGGGAGAAATGGGCAGTACGGTTAGTTGTGGTCAAGGTTAGTCTTATGGGGACTAATGGATACTACTTTCTGATCCAGCTGGCTACTGATTCCACTAACCTTTCTCCAAATGACTAAGCCACCTGAATGATGTGTAATATAACATGGAGAAGGGAAGGGGAAGTGACATGACAGCCATCTTCAAATATTAAAGTGGCCACCATGCAGAAATCGGATCCTATTTGCTTTTGAGGGGTCTAGAGGAAAATTAGGACAAACAGTAGAAGTTGTAAAAAGGCACATTTAGATTTAACATAAAAAGAAACTAACTCACAACTGATTAGCTGGAGCTGCTACAATTGTCTGGAGCATCTTAAGATACTTGAGAACTGCTTTGATTACAGAAGAGATGATTAAACCCAGCAATAGGCTGTCAGAACAAATTAGCCACTAGGGAGGCAGCATGGCACAGTGGAAGGAATGCTGGGCTGGGATCTCATGACCTCAGTTTGAAGCCTGGCTCTGCCACTCATCCCCTGTATGACCTTGGGGGAGTCATTTCACAATCTTGACCTCAATTTCTTCATTTATAAAATGAAGAGATTCAACTAGATCACTTCTAAGGTCACTTCCAACTCGAAACAATAATAATAATAATAATAACTAGTAGTAGTAGTAGTAGTATATGCTGATGATGATAATGATAATTATTATTACCATCATTAATTATTATCGCATATTGTTTGCAAAAGCACTTCACAAATATTATCTCACTTATTATCTATAATTGAATGATCTGTTGGGATAATGACAAATAGAGCCAACAATCATGCATCTTGACTGATGGACCTGTTATCCAGTATGAAGGCAGGGACTGGAATAATAATAGTCCATGTTTATAAGGCACTTTTCAAATATCTCATTTGATCTTCCCAATAACCCTGGCAGGTGGGTGATATTATTATCCCCATTTTATCCCCATTTTAGAGATGAGGAAACCAAGGCAGACAAAAGTTAAGTGACTGGACTAAGTCCAGTGCTCTATCTACTATGCCACCTAAGTGTCCAAATTCTTGAATTTCCTTGCCAGATCATCATTGACATCTTTCAGTTTCAGAATCCATAACCTCTATCATTCCTAAATCACTTTTGGGGGGGGGAGCCTAGGCAATGGGGTTAAGTGACTTGCCCAGGGTCACATAGCTAGTAAGTGTTATGTGTCTGAGACTGGATTTGAACTCAGCTCCTCCTGACTCCAGGGCCAGTGCTCTATCCACTGTGCCACCTAGCTGCTCCTCCATCATTCCTTAAACACAGGTTTGAGATGAAATGCAACATTAATTGGAAGGAAGGGGGATCCAGATCCGTGCTTTCTTTGGGCTGGGGAGCTCCCAGTGTGGAAACTATCTCCACCAATGCAAATCAACTCATCTGCAACTTAGAGACTGAGAGAATTGCCTGAGGGCACAGAGAGGTTAAGAGATTTCCCATTGGTCACACCACTAGAATGTGATGGAGGCAGCACTGGAACCCATTTCTTGTAAGATTTATTGCAATGTCCTAACTTCATAGAATGCCCACATTGTGATAAAGGCCCTCCGGTCTATGACTTGCCCACCCTTCCACTAAGCCACCTGCCTAAGAGGCAATGGGGGAATATTCTAGAAGCACTAAATAGCAATGAAGAATCATCAGCCTCGGAATCTTGCCTTGATTCACTCATTCTTTGATACCTGAAACAGGAAGCTGTTATATTCATGACTGAATCTCACCAACACAAGGCTAAACCCCCAACTCTTAACTGCTCTACAACAGAGAAAGTGGACCCCAAATTTCAAAAAAGAAGGACCCACCCTAGTCATTGAAGTTCAATCTCCATTATCCTAATGAGGACACTGAGACACCAGAGAATGAACTGGTGTGCCCAAGGTCAAGTGAGTAGTGAAAGACAAAGCCATTAAGTAATGACCTCAACGAAGTCGATCCTTAGCTATCCACTGATTCAGGCCCAGAACTGGGCAAGACAATAGTTTGTAAACCTAGTGTTCAAGTCATTGTATGTACCTGAAAGCAAATGTTTATCCATTTGCAAGTCATTTAACCTCTTAGCATGGGCAGCTAGGTGGGGTTAGAGCAGTGGGCTTAAAACCAGAAAGACTCAGCTTCCTATTTCAAATCACGTCTCAGACCCTTCCTAGCTGTGCGGCTCTGGGCAAGCCTGTTTGTCTCAGTTTCCTCATCTGTAAAATGAACTGGAGAAGGAAATGGCAAACGACCCTATGATCTCTGCCAAGAAAACCCCAAAAAGGGTTAGAAACAGTTGGATACAACTGAAACAACTTAACAACCACAACTAACTTCTCCATGTCTCAAACAACTCTCTTAATGTATTAGCTGCAGAGAAAGTGACACGTACATCAGTAGAGAGAGGTTTTTCTCTACAGGTCAACAAGCTTGGCACCAAAGAGGAGATACAAGAAGACAACTGTACTTTTTGTTCAGATATGGGGGAATCATGCAGTGAAACACTATACACTATACACAACATTAGACTTGTTCTATGTTGGTTAATTTTGCTATGTTGGTTAATTCATTTTTTTCCTTTATTATAAGGGACAGCTTCCAGGGAGGGGTAAAGGTAGGGATATATTGGGACATGTGGGTGACATAAAAACAAAAGATCTCCATATAATTTTCCAAAAAGAAACCATGGATCAAATCCCACTCAGCCATGTATATGTGAGTATATATAAATGTGCTATAGAGCAAAAAACTGTTCATTAATTCAGTAGAAATTTTCTCTTCTTTAATCAAATATTTATACTACCTGAATGTGGGTGCATCAGTCTTATAGAAAAGAAATACATATAATCATCTCTCAACCAAAGAGAGAGAACTAACCTCCAGGTCATGAAATCCTTGGTTCAAGTCCCAATACATAGGCTTAGGACCCTGGGCAAGGTCCTTTAATGTTCCCAAGGCAAATGTCTGGGACTGTAAGCCAGTTGTCACTCTAAAGTATTAGAGGGTATACTTAGCTGAAAATTTCCAAAACCAGTAAAATCCCAGGTTTGGTAGCTGGATGGGAAATATAGCCATACATAAAATTCAGCCTACTGCCCACATAACTGGTCCATAAGCCACCACTCATGAGAAGAGCTGAGGAAGGTCATTAAAAATCATTAGAAGGAAGAGGTTTAATGTTAGATAAAGGTAATAGCACATCTCTGTTTAAGTGAAAACTACTGCCTTTGGCTTTAAATTACCATCAAAGCCAAGTTCTAAAAGTTTGAATGTCTTCTAAGAGGATTCGTCAAGTTTTGTTTTGTTTTGTTTTTATCTTAAAAGAAAGTTAGTGTAACATCTGTATAACTGACATCCCTTTTTAAAAGTATACTGACACCTCCTGGAGACATTCAACCCCAAAACACATCTGGATGGGGCTGATCTCTCCATTTGCCACTAAATATGTTTACCCACAAAAGGGCATACTTCTGCAAAGCTTAGGCATCTCTGTGCATAGAGGAAGAAAGTGGTACTGGAAGTCCAGTGTCTGAATTAGAGTCAAGGTTCCCTATGGTGAATAGGGCACTTTCAGAACAAGTTAGTAAGTTACACATATAGGAAAATAGAAGCTGTCAGACCAATGACCCATTTCCTATCAGTAGAAGGTTGTGCCTTTGGCAAAGGAGATCCTTCATACTTTCATGAAAGAGACTGGGAATGCTGGGAAGGAGGAGGGACTGCAGCTGTCAGATTTTACAAGGCTAGAAAAAATATATATCCCTTCTGGATTATTCACGAAGTCAGGTTTCACTAGGTATCATTATCTTAGCTTACCGGGCTGCAAATGTCATTAACACTTATAATGGACACTAAGATGATCTAGTCTTGTTAAAACTTCATCAGGAGAAGTCTCTCTACCACCTCCTATGGGGATGGTTGCCATTTAACTGGCTTAATTGTACTTCTTGGGGAGGGGGACCAACAAATTGACTGTCATTCGTTGTAGGGAAGCGGGACGGCTCAATGTTATGCCTCAAAGCAACAGAATGTGCATAAAACAGATGATATAACCCAACCTGGTGGAACAGGAAACCTCTCTCTCCTCCCACCCCTGGTCCCTGCCCCACAGACATCCCCAGACTGAAACAATAATTGCAAAAAATGTAACTTTTTGGTAAAAAGGAAAGAACTTACTCACTTTCAGTGCAAATAGGACAGCATCCCTTTCTATTCAGAATTTTACCCTAATGAGGAAAAAAAGAACACATTCATTTTAATGAAGAGATTATTTTTCTAAGAGCTAATGTGTCTATAACATTTTAGGCTTTGCAAAATGTTTTACATGCATTATTTCAATTGATCTTCAAGTCCATTCCAAGTCAAGAGCTAGGATTCTATTTATTTCCTAGTATGGAAATTCCCTCTTTCATGCAGCTCAGTCACTGGGACCTAACCGAGAGCATTAGAAAATTACGTGAAGCACTTGACTTGTCCAAGGTCATCCACCCAGCACATGTCAGTGACAGGACTCAAGCCCAGATTGTCCTGACTTTAGAACTGGCCCTCTCTCCAATTCTTCACTTCCCCTTTCACTGGTGACCTCTACAAGTGAATTCAGTACATATTTGAATTCAATCACCAGATGATGATGCCAACATGCTATTGAGGACCTTCTGTTGCAAGGGCAGGAGGTCTCTGGCCAAGGCAAGTAGTAGAGACTTAGCAGCAAAACGATAGCTTCAAGTCCCTGGTTTTGAGATCAGGCATAGTGACTTAAGGTAATATATGAGAGATACGATACTTTAAAGGCCTCCCTCATGTGACTTTTGTCATATGGAGTTAAGGTGGAGAATGTTTGGGACTCAGTCTTTTCACTGATATCCAAAACCAGTCTCTGAGAGAGCATTCTCCTGGACATAATCACAAAAATGACCTTTCAGAATATTGATTCAGAGAGGCCCTGCATGTATCTTGGTTGTTGGCTCATTTTCCAAAAGGTTTTATGGCAAAAACAAACAAAATAACCCACCTTCTGATTCAAGTCTACAGTCATCTGGCCCTTTGAATGAACAGAGTACTGATAATGCAAATCAAGCTGATTCATTTTTGTTGTCCAGGAGGCAATGTTTTATCCATGTGAATTTAATTCTACTTGGTCAAAGCCAAGACAGTTCGCTGTTTCGTAAAATTGGATAATATTCCAGGGATTCCATAGAAGTTCAATATGTTATCAAGGACCCTCTGTTGCAAAGGCAGGAGGTCTCTGGCCAAGCTGAGTATAGTGCTCAGACTGGGTGGCCTAGCCCATGAGCCCTGCCTTCTCCTCTCTACATTCCCCCTCTGGGTCATCTCATCTGCTCTGCTTCTGCTTCATTTGTCCTCTCTACATAGATGGTTCCCAAACCTCCATCTCTAGCCCTCACCTCTTTCTCGAGCTCCAGGCCTGCATCACCAGCTGCATGTTGGACATCACTTGGATATCCCATCAGCATCTCAAATTCAATGAAGAGTCCATTAACTTCTCCCCCAAATCTACTCCTCCCCCCAACTTCTCTCTACACAGTCAAGATTCTCTATAACCATCATCCTTCCAGCCACCAAGGCTTTCAACCCCAGGTTTATCTTTGACTTTTCCCTCTGCCTCACCCAAAGTTTCCAATCAATTGTTGTCTCATCCATATCACCTCCAAGACTCCTCTCCCATCAGTCCCTGTCTCTCTACTCCCACAGCTACCATCTTGACTTAAGCCTTGTCGCCTTTTGGAGACTATCACAATAGCCTCCCAAGTCCTTCCCTTCTCTAATCCATCCCTCATTCAGCTGCCAAATTGAAATTCCTAAGCACAAGTGTGACCATGTACCTCTCCTACTCAAGAAGTTTCAGGGGCTCCCTACTGCCTGTAGGATACATAACAAATTCCTCTGGTTGGGATTTAAAGGCCTTCATAATGTAGCTTTAACCTATGCTTCCAGACTCATTTGAAATGATTCATTTGCCACACGATCGATGCTTTAGGAGTACTGGACCACTAGCTGTCCTACGACCTGGCATGCTAACTGCTACTACTCTACTTCTTTGTACAGTCTTTCTCTCATTCTTTAAATATTCTTTCTTCTCACCTCTGACTCTTGGAAACCCCAGCTTCCTTCAATGACCAGCTCAAGTCCCCAGTTTTTCCAAGTAGCCTTTCCTAATCACTTCATGAATGCCCTTCCAGCCCCATGAAATGACTGCATTGGCTTTGTACATAGCTTGTATTTCCTTGTCTATGTACATGCTGTTTCCCTACCTCCACCCAGAGAATGTAAGGGCCCTCTGGGCAGGACTGGCTTCACTTTGGTTTCCATATTCCCAACACCTTGCACAGTATTTGCCACATAATAGATGCCTGATAAATGTTTGTTCAATTGAATTGAGTCATGACTGGAGTTCTCTGTTCACTGGCTCAGTGGGTCCTCATACATTCGGCCACATTTGTTCTCTGCCATGGGGTTCTTCATCCATAAGAAGCCAGTACTTGTACTGATGCATCTACTTCCCGAGGGATCTGTGTGTATAATGGCGGGGGTGTGGCCTCGGCGCTCGTCTAAGAACCTCGCACTTCTGCCAGGCTAGAAGCCAAGGGGTCGGTGTCATGGCAGAACAAGTCAGTTGCTGGACGTGTAGTCAAAAGACCTGGGTTCAAATTCCTCCTGATTGCTGGAGTGACCTTGGACAAATCACTGTCTGGGCCTCAGTTTCCTTATCTGTGAAATGAGGGGGTTGGACCAGCAACCTCAAAGGCTCCTTTCAGCTCTAGAGCTAAGAAACATGTTAAGAAACAAGAAGATGACAGAAATCCAAGTAGATCTAACTGCCATCCTCAGACCTCTCTGAGCCTCTGTAAAGTGAAGGGATTGGACTAGCTGATCTTTAAAGAACTGAGATTCATGGTTCTCCAACAAAGCCTCATTACTTATAATAGAAACAGAAATGTTGTCTCGGGCAGCCTGCCTGGAGGCCAATGACCCATGTCATCCTTCCCAAGACCATCCTTCTCTGAATGGCCGTTTCTTCCTCACGGTTCAAACAATGCAGACTGAAAGCACTTTGGTACTTAGCTTGTCCATCGGCCAGTCAATCAATAAGCAATGATTAAGCACCTACTATGTGCCAGGCTGGGGATACAAAGAAAGGCAAAAAGTTGCTGCCCTCAAGGAGCTCACATTTTAATTGGGGTAGGCACAGGTAAATAATGAAGTACATACTAGAAACAAAATAGAAGGAAGCTCATTTCAGAAGGGAAGGTACAAGTAGTGGGCGGTGGAGAAGGTGTAAACCAGGAGCCTCTTGTAGAGGGCAAGATATGGTTTATTCCTATTGAGAAAGCTAGATGGCACAACCCGGAGCTAGGAAGACCTGAGTTCAAATTCAACCTCAGACATTTAGTAGCTGTGAGAGCCTGGGAAAGGCACTCAATCCTGTTTGCCTCAGTTTCCTCAATTGTAAGACGAAGATGATAATAATAGCCCCTACCTCCCAAGACTGTTGGGAGGTTCAAATGTTATGATATTTATAAAGCACTTAGCACAGTACCTGGCACACAGTAGGTGCTACATAAAAGCTTATTCTCTTTCTCACTCTCTTCCTACTCAAAAGCTCATGCTGCAATGCACAAACATGGCCAGGATCTGAAGGCTGGGGAGACCATACATCACTGAAGTCAGCCCTCATATCAAATGAGACAAGAAAGCACATTCTTCTGCTGGCAAAATAATCCCCTTTCATCAACAGGAGCTGTAGGAAATGATCCGTGCCATGTCCTCTTCTTCCTCTTCTTCCTCTTCTTCCTCTGTTCTCCTGTGACGCTTGTCCTTTGGCCCTGAACCCATGCTCCGTTCAGCTGGGGGCCTGACTTTCTTTATTTCTGGATGGAGCCTACTCGTAGACTGGGAGCCAGAAAGGACTTTGGGGATCACAGAATCGTAGATTTAGGGCTAGAAGGGACCTCAGAGGTCACTGAGTCCAACACCCTCATCTTACAGATGAATGAGGGTAAGTGACTTTCTCCAGGCCACACAGTGAGGAAGTAGCAGTCAGGATGGAAGACAAGTCCTGTGACTTCAAACCCAGGGCTCTTTTGCTGGAAAATCTGGACTTTCACCATAATATCCTGACCATACTGGAAAGGGACCAAAACAGGTGAATACAAGCATCCTGAGGGGACAGATCCTTTGATTTTGGTCCCTGTAATGCTGGAGCCTAGTATAGAGCCCAGCACAAAGTATGTGCTTAATACTTGCTTGTTGACTATAAATTCAGCCCTGGTGTGTTTTCCATTATCTATCTACCCAATAAGGCCTGGATGCATTTACACACACACACACACACACACACACACACACACACACACACACACACAAACGCGCACACACGTGCCCGCATGCACACACACACACATATACACATACTGGCTCAATCAGGAATAAAGTAGGAATAGAGAATGCATCCCATGGAACCTTCTGTTGGCTTGGAGGGTAGGAGTTGGGGGAGGTCTTTATCTGTGCATCCCTTTAAAATTAACAGCGGCAAAGCTGAAAAGCAAAGAAAGTAGGAAAAGAGGACAAGTATTCCCAACTCAGAACACTGTTGAATTAGCTAGTCCTTCCTAAACCTTATCCCTGAGAGCAGAGCATTTGGGACTGAGTGGATCTGGGCCAAAGAACCCTGGCCTCCATGAAGTTATTCAGAGACCAACACAGTAATAACAAGAGGGCGTGGAGGGCTGGGACTCCTCCTTTTAGGGACAGACCCTCAGGGGCCCCATTTGGGGCCATCAACCCAAAAGGTCAGCTGCCTGAGTACTTGGGGAGCATGAAGAAAGCCAGGCTGGCCTGGGGGCCTGAGCACCGGCCCTCCTCCAGGAGCCCAGAGAAGAGCCCCTTCTCCATGAGGCCAGGTTTCCAGGGCACTTGGCAGCTTGACTCCAGCCTGCTGGAGCCCCCAGGTTGGCACGGCATCCTGTTTTTGTCTTGTTGAATAAGGAAGCCCATTATTGCTAACATGTGTGGCATGGGTTCATTAGCAGCCAGGGTTCCCCGAGGACTGGGATAAATGATGTGATCCCCTTCTTCTCCATGAATATTTATAAGCAAAGTATGTTGAAGTCTATTTATCGTCTCCCCCCTTTTTTTCCCTCTTCTTTTATGTGAGGTTTTCAGTTTTACGTCTGAGGTTTTTTAGAGCAAGACTAATTAGAGTTTTACTCTCTCCCTCCACCCCCACCCCCACCCCCACCCCACCCAACCCCCAGTTCCAGCCTTCATTCAGTTGTGCAACAGAAACAGCTGTTGGAGTTTTTTGCCTTGCTTGGCACTCAGGGAAAACAGCAAGGGTTTTGTTTGCAATAATAACAGATGTGAATAAAATTAAAAGCTGTCTATAACTGGGAAGGGAGGACGTATTCCGATGTTGTGTGTGTGTGTGTGCGCGCGCGCGCATGTGTGCACGCATGTGGTTTAATTTGCCAGAAGTTGATAGGTTGAATCTTATTTTTTCCCCCAATGGGCCCTCAACCTGAAAAAGTTTCCTACTCCATAAGCTTAATTCAACGAGGCTCAGACTTTTAAAAAGATAAAACTTATTTTATGGTCTGCCCAGTTAGAGCAGGATGCTGAATAGCAGGGAAAGAAAGATTTCCCTGAGAATTCTGTTTTCATTTGGGCTGTCATCTCGGGCCTGGAGAAGGAGGAGGAAGAGGGAGAGGTGACCTGGGCAAGGGTCGCATAGTGAACGGGGTCTACTGGGGGAATGTATGAATAAATATGCCTCATACTGGAGTAAATGATGGAAAGAGGGTGGTCTGAGTCAAGAAGAGAGAAAAATAGAGGGAAAAGGAAAAATCAGGGGACGATGGAAAATGAAGGCGATCCTGGAGCAGAATAACAAGAAGTTAATGGGGTACAGAGTGCATAGGGAAGTACGTTTCACACACATGATAAAGGAAATTTTTTTTAAATCCAGTGTTGGGGCAAGGGCAGAACTTTTGATCCAACAGAACATTTGGAGGTTCAGTCAGTCAATAAGCATTTATTAATTGCTTACTGTCTGCCAAGAACTGTGTGAACAATTTTTTTTAAAGCAGATCCCGCCCTAAAGAAGCATACATTCTAATGGGGGAGACAACATGTTAATAACTAGATAATATACAAGGTAAACACAGAGTACCTCATTCACGGCTTTGGGAGGTTGGGGGAGGTACCTGGAACCAGTCCTGAGAAGCTATTAGAACATTTAAGAAGGATTTAAAGCAGGAAGAGTCCTCAATGGCCCTTTAGACTAGTCCCTTCATTTTAGAAACCCAAGGTTCAGAGAGGTGACAGGCTGCCATAAGTCACACAACTAATAAATGGGAGGGTCCAGATTTAACCCCAGGTCTTTGGACTCCAAATCCAGAGCTCTTTCCATGACATCCCACTGCCTTCTCACACTGTTCTATTTTCTAGCATTTTCCAGCATCTGAGCCCAGGGATAAAGATAAAAAACCAAGACTGAGCCTTAGCCACTTACGTGTGGACAGCTGTTGATGGGAACGCATTGCTTCTTCTGACACTCAGTCTTGCCTTTCACACAAGCACAGATGGTGCAATTAACAGAGGACCACATCTCTCCATCCTGTAGAGGGGAACACAAGCAGTCACTTAGCCAGCCCAGCAGAAGGGCTCTCAATAGCATTTCTCCTCGCAGGAGAGTGTTTCGTTCCATTAGGGAGGGAAGCCATTGTTTAGTCTAAATAGCTTTGAGTTAGCCATCTCCAGCCACTAAGTGTTGGTGTGGAAATCAGGGCAATTCTTTGTCTCTGTCCCCATGGCACAAAGCAAATTCTTTGGAGTCTAAGCTGACCGAGTTTGCATTTTGCATTGGTTTTTTATTTGCTTTCCTTCATCTAGGGATACAACATCACATGAATTTTCATACAGGGTTACAAAAACCTAATTTTCCACTTGGTGACATGATTGAGGCATTGAGGCCCTGAGGACCTGACACGCAAGGCCATTTCGTTGAAATGTCAGGGAGCAGAGCGTTCATTCCTTGATGGGACACCCCTCTGGCACGGCCCAAGAACAAAGCTTAATCCAGGTGACTGCCAATGCCGTAGCAGACACCTGACCAGCTGAAAGTCCCAGACACCAAATCCGTGCAAGTAAATGTGCAGGGGCCCTCCAGGTAGGGCTGGCATCCTCTCCCCCACATGCAAGGGCCTCATTTGGAAAGCATTTCCTAGACGTGTTCCTTCCTCTGAGGAAGGGCTGTTTGGGGAACCGTCTTGGCTCACAGTGTGTCGGATTTTACTTGTGCCAAGTACAGTGAGTAACTGAGTGACTGACACTCTGTCCCAGGCACAAGAGGCCCCTGGGCCTTGCTAATGCTTTCACAGGGCAGTGTAGCGGTTTGTGAGGTGGGAAGATGGAGATGGGGAGCAAGACAGAGGGGCCTGAAAACAAAACAGAAGCCAGTCACATCCTGTGAGGGAACAGGAATCATTGGAGCCTCATCAACAACTGGAATGGCTCTTAGAGATCAGCGTGGGGGCAGCCTTCACTAGCACAGAGCCCAACCTAGTGGTACCTTCTCATCCCACATCCTTCGGTAGGAGCAGAGATTTAGAGGTGGACAGGCCTTCAGAGGAGGCCATCTAGCCCAACTCCTCATTTTATAGAAGAGGAAATTGAGGCACTGGAAATGAAGTGACAGGGTCTCATGACTAGTAAGTGTCAGAGATTGGTCTTCCCGACTCTTCTGTTCACTAAATCTTGCATAGAAGATCAACACCTTGAAGGTCTTCATCTGTAGTTTAAGACAGGCTGTTTCAAAAGTCTCCGGATGATTTTATGCTGCAAAGCTTAAAACCGCACTAGGATTTTTGGGATACCCTATGCATTCCCTGGAAAGTGGGAGCCCATGTGGGGCAGGGGGCTGAGGGGTCTACCCCTGCTCTGGTCACATTCTTGGCCCACTTCTTTTCTCAGTCATACGTAAAACACAAAGAGGACGTGTTTCCTCTCACTTTGTGTCTGTTTTGTCCAGTTTTCACTATTGACTTTGCTGTGTCAACGCTGGGCTTCCTCCAAGCACAGGGACAGATTTTGTTTTCATCTTTGTAGCTCCATGACCAAGCCAGCGCCTGGCACAGAATGTGAGCCTCTCTAGGCTAGAGCACCCAGACATATAGTGTAGAGTCCTGGCTCTGGAGGCAATCGACCTGGGTTCAAATATTTCCTTCAGTACTAGCTGTGTGATATTGGCCAAGTCAATGAACCCACCTGGGCCTCAGTTTCTTCATCCCTTAAATAAGTGAGTTGGACCAGATAAACTGACATCTGTGATCCTACGATTCTGCAAGTCAGAATCTGCATCACCCCAAAAGGATGGGCAGAAATCTCAACTAGGAGCAATGTGTAGAAATTGCAGAGAAAAAAAAATTTAGGCTTCATATCAGGGAGAGCTTCTTTATAATTGTTACTATGTCAACATAGAATGGGCTGCTCTAAGGAAGCACTGAGTTCAAGAAAAGGCTGAATTGCCATTTCTCTGGCCTGATGTAAGGAGACTCTTCTTCACGAGGTCTAGTTCAGTGGTGTCAAACTCAACTATAAAAAGACCACTCTGCCATCGGCCTATTGATTTAGAAAACCACATATTAACATTAACTATGTTCTATTGTATTTTTAGTTATATTGTTAAATATTTCCCAACTACATCTCAATTTGTTTTGGGCCCACTCAGGGGTATTGTGGAAAGTACTCATCATGTGGGCAGTAGATGTCAACTGAGGTCCCTTCCAACTCTAAGATGCTGTGATTCAGACCCTGCCCCTGACATTTGTTCACTGTGTGACCCTGGCCAAGTCTCCAACTTCCGTGTGATTCATACAATTCCCAGGATCGTATCTATTAGGTATAGATAGTTTGTGATCCGCATAGATGGAGAGAATTCCCATACCAGGAGTTCTCAACACCAAGGAAACCAGAGATCAAAGAGTTACCTAATAAGAGGATATATATGAAAGTACTTTGAAAGTTGCAAAGGGACTTTTTTAAAATGGAACTTATTATTACTGAGCAGAACCAGCAATGGAATTAGATTCTATATTAGGTTCAGACCACTGTGTCCATAACATCAATGGGTAATCACCACCAGGTTGAAGCAAGCCACCCACACAAAGGAGAAAGAAGTCCATGGGTAGGAGTCAACAATGTAAGGAATGACCTTCCCTTTCCTGCTGGTGGAAATGTTGTTATTTCAGTGTTTGTAAGAAGGTTTCTATGGCAAGACTGTAGGGATAGGAATCTCAGTAAATGGGGCGGGGGGGGAGTCTTTCTCTGAGGAGAGGGGGAAGGAAAATGGGCAGAATACCTCCTGAGAGACGAGTGATCTGTGAGAGCCTAGAGAAGCACATAGTTCTCATAACCTGATCCAGGAAAGGTATGATCATTCATCAAGCTCTGGTTCTATCAGGCATCTTGTATGTTCTGTAAATGAGCTGAGAACCAAGAACCTCACCGGGACTGGAAAGAGGAGTTTAGTGGGAGGTCCAACAGAGGAGAGGGGGGTCTGGGGCTCTGAGACAGGACCAAGCAGCTGGCTGAGACCTGCAGATGGGCTCTCAGGAGCCTATCAGGCTACCACCTCACACTGAGGGCACACTAGCGATACCAGAGCCAGGTGTGAGCTTAGAAAAAGAGGCCAGGACGCCAAGCTCTGTGAATGGACACCCAGCCTTCACAAAGGGCTAGTGAAGCCTGCGGGTCAAGGGAACAGAGAAGTGAGAAACGAGTCAGGGGAGAGGATCAGATTTCCAGGGGCCAAAACCACAGAGACTCAGGAGGAAGGAAGGGGAGAAAAGGCAGCGTTAATTAGGAATCTTAATGCAAAGAAATACATTCATCCTCACAGTTTTCTTTGAGCTCCATTCCAGTCACACTGGTCCGCCAAGTGCTCCTCAGTCATGAGGTCCCACCTCCTACCTCTGAGACTTTGTCCATTCGGGTTGTTCCTTCCCCCTTGCCTGGTACGTCTTCCCTCTTCACTCCCACCTCATAAAATCCCCTGCTTCCTTCAAAACCAAACTCCTACCTGAGTTCCTCTCTGATCCTCCCGGTTGTTAGAGTACTTTCCCTCCTGAAATACTTTTGCATGTATTTTCATTTGCTTATCCGTGTACACGCCATATTCCATCAGGAGGACATAGTAAGATCCAAATGCCTTCTCTAAAAGACATTCTGAGGAAGGAGGAGAGGTGGAATCTCCAATTTCTTTTCACAAAAGAGAGCAGGGTAGCCTCAAACAGGACAGAAGAGTGGGGCATGGCAGCCAGAAGGTTCCCTAAGGGCTTAACATCAGCAGATGTTGGGGTTACCACAGACCCCTCCCCCTGTTTGGAACAGCCATAGAGGAAATAGTTGACAAACTTTTCCTTTTGAACTGCCTCTCAAATTGCTTGACCCTATAAAGACCCCACAGAGGCAGAGAATCCCAAGAGAAGTTCCACTTGGGACTATTGACAGTCATCCCAATGGAGCCCAAGAGCCCTGCTCAAGACATTACCCGGAAGATCTTGCTCCCAAGCTTGCACACACGGATGTCTTTGGGGGGCACACGCACAAGGCATTCTTCACAACAGGAGTCTCTGCTCTTAGCACAAGCTCCAGGGGGAGAGCATTTCTTCTTGCACACCACGGTGGAGTCCTGGCATGAGAGGCAACAGCAAAGACAAATGAATGCTTAAGAAATGATGTCATCCTCCTCACACACCGGCACCCACTCTACCCCAACCTGTGGTCCAGCATCACCCCTTCCCCCTCCCCGGCCCCCACCACATGCCCCACCTCTGCCTTCAGAATTGCCCTCCTCTGGAGTGCTTCTTAAATACTAACTCTATTGGACTTCCATTTGTATGCACAATTTTTTGTGTTTCTAAATTCGATAGTTTTTGTTCTCACATCACTTTCATTTCCAAATATCTCCCTCCTCTATTCCTTATCCAGCAAGCCATCCCTTGTTTCATAAAAAAGGAATGCGGGAAAAAGTCATTCTGCAAAATTAACAGAGATATTAGCTTGGTGTGACCATGTAAGTAATGTTCACGGCCATAGTCACTCACCTTTGCCCTAAACAAATATTTAATGAGAATCTACTCTTATACAAAGTATTGTGATAGGGGCACAAGAAGATGCATAAGATGGAGGTATGTGAAGACCACATGGGAGGCTATAGAAAGAATGCCAGACTTGAGGTCAGGAAGACCTGGGTTCAATCCAATCCATGCTTCAGACACTTAATAGCTATGTGACCCTAAGTAAGTCATTGAACCTCTCTCATCTCAGTTTCCTTATCTGGAAAACAGGGGTAATAAGAGTACCTGCTTCACTATGAGGCTCAAATGAGATAATCTATTGAAATTCTCTGTAGATGATGGCTATCATTATGAGACACGTGCCAGCCCTTTAGAAGCTTACAGCAGACCAGGAAGAGCATTGTGATTCTCCTGGCAGCTGCATGGAGAGGGCTGAGCCTGCCCCATAGACCCATTTAAACTGGGAGGGAGGCCTGGCTCTGGTCCATCAATTGCCGCATCTCTGATTCTATCTCGCCCCGTATCTCTCATCCAGATTTTTCTCTTCACTCACACACTTGCTTCTTGCCTCTTGCCTGAATTATTGCAATAATTATTAAATTATTAATAATAGTCATATTCATGTAATTAAATCATTGCCATTGGTCTCCATGTCCATTCCATTCTCCAGCCAATCAATTCATCCTCCATGCAACTAAAAGAGTGATTTTCTTAAAGCTCAGATCTGACTATGTTACCGCCACCCTCCATTTCACAATCTCCAATGGCTCCCTATTACCTTGAGGATTAAATAAAAACTCCTCTGTCTGCCGTTTCAAGCCCTGCATGACCCGGTTTTCGGTTGGTCATCCAGTTGACAAGCAATTATTACGTGCCTATGATGTGCCAGGCACTGGGCTAAACACTGAGGCTACCAAAAAAAGCAAAAAAAATTTAAAAATGCCATACCTTCAAGGAGCTTATAGTCTAATGGGGGAGGTGACATGTTATATTTGGATAAATTGGAGCTAATCATTAGAGGAACAGCATCAGGCTTTGGGAGGGTTGGGAAAAGCTTCTTCAGAAGGTGGGATTTGAACTGACATTAGAACAAAGCCAAGGAAGCCAGGCAGCCATAATGAGGATGGGGAGAATTTCAGGATGAGGGTTGGTCGGTGAAAGTGGAGAGATGGAGGGGCCTCTGCAAAGAGCAGTGAGGAGGTAGGGTTACTGAATCAGAGTACCACCATATGTTAATAAACGCCTCGTTGTTCCCTTACATACACTCTACGATCCAGCCAGCCCGCTTCTTGTTCCTCACATTCGATTTCCCACCTCCATGCCTTTGCCCTGGCCATCCCCCTTCTTGATTCCACCTCTCAGAAATCCCAATTTCCTTCAGATCTCAGCTCCAGCACCACCTCCTACTTGAGGCCTTTCCTGATCCCCCTAGCTACTAGTGCTTCTCCCACCAAAATTATCTCGTATTGTTTCTGTGCTTATGTATGCTATTTCTCCTGGTAGAGTGTAAGCTCTTTGAGGGCAGACTATTTCACTTCTTGTTTTTGTGCCCCTAGTGCCTTGCACAGTGCCTGGCACATAGTAGGTGCTTAATCAATGCTTTTTGACCTTTTTCCCAAGGAAGCAACGTGAGAGAACAGCTCTCCCCTCTGCTCTGAGGAGGAATTATGTGTGTGGAACGCTATGTGTCTTGTCAAATACTGCTTAGCCTTGCTGAACTGCTTTTCTTCTCCCTCTGATTCATTTTTTTTAAGGCACTGTTTTCTGGGAGAGGGAGAAGGAGGCGATACTCCCACTAAGAACTGTGAGGGATGTAAAAACAAAAGCTAGCAATAGAAATTATTTTGAAAAATAAATCAAGGTCTGCTGATGAACTGACAGGGCAGGAACTGTCTCATTCTGTCTTTGTCACCCCCAAGGCCTGACTCGGTCCCTGGTACATAGTAGGTGTTTAATGCCTGTTGACTGAGACACATCTTTGGCCCTCTTCCTGCCTTCATTCTGCACTCGCGGTGCTGGCTTCCGTCCAACAGCAATACCCTGACCACAAGCCGGGAGTAGGTTAGGTCCAGTGGGAAGTGCACGGAGACCACCGTGATGTAGGTGGAGGGTCAGGGGCAGATGCAGGACAGGGGAGCCACTGGACCCAGGCCATCGGGGAGGACAAAGTTCCTGTGTCCTTAGGATCCAATCCATCCCCTGAAATGAAAACAGTCTGCCAAACGCCTGCTGGAGAGAAAGTCAACCAAGTCTGCACAGCTCTACTGTTAAAGCCATTACTCAAGGAGAGGCCTTCAAGAATGATTTAAATGACATTAAGCCCCATTCCAGTAACAGACTCATCCGCCACCATGTTATTTCTCACAGACAACCACAAAGCCACCACAAAATAAGGACATTTGGTCTCTAAATCGTTTCGTCAGGTTCCACTGGCTGCCGGGGAAGGGAAAGACAAAGCTGGAGACTGGATGGAGCCTCCAAGTCAGGGCTCCCCAGCTGGTCTAGTGCATTCACCCCACCCCCAGTCCCATTCCCAAGCCTTCCTACATTTCCACCAAGAGACAGAGGCCATTACCAGGCTTCCCTCCTCCCCTGAGATACCCTCCAGCTGTAAGGAGTGAGCTGGGGCAACGATTTCTACCTAACCCACCTTCTCTGCTGGAAGTGCCTGGAGCTTCCAAGCCCCAACCTGCCCCCACCACTCCTGGATTCACAGACTTCAGCTCAATATAAATTCTCTTTGCACCTTCCCCACCAACAGGCCAGGGACCCCTGCTCCATGCAACTCGATCCTCCCAAAGAAGAGCCCCAGTGAAAATGTCTGTGAAAATGCTTCTGAACTGGAGATTAACAGGGAATACCCAGGAACCAGAGAGACCGATCTCAGGGCAAACACAGCTCATGGGGAACCAGGGCAGCTTGGCGGGAGGGGAGTCCAAGGAAATCAAAAAGTGATGTGTGCCGTCAAAGCCTCAACATTCCCCTAAGAATCTGTAATCTATGAAATTCCTGGCAGAGAAGCCAAACAGAGATCCCCAGGAAGGAGGCCAAGGTAAACACCAAGGCGCTGTATATTTAGTATATGATAATGCAAGCACAGGAAAGGAGATGGGGAAGCAGAGAGTGTTGGGTGGAGGCTGAGGCTTCAGGGCCAGGGTGAAGGAAGGATGCAATGCCCTCCCTGGTCCATCCAGGAGATCAGCAGAGTTTGAGCCCTTATTTCTGGCCATTGATTTATACTTGTGATAATTGTGAGTTTCTCTCTCTCCCTCTCTCCCTCTCTCCCTCTCTCTCTCTCCCTCTGTCCTTGGCATCTATCCCTCTGGCTACTTTACTGCAAGTTGCAGCTGAAAAAATGCTGAATTTGGAGTCATGGGATCCGAGTGCAAATTCCAACCCTGCTGTTCACTATTTGTGTGACCTTGAGCAAATCATTAAACTTCTGTGGCTCTAACTTTCCTCATTTAAAAATGAAGTTATGGGACTCCACGGCCTCAAAGATCCCTTTCATCTCTAGAAATGTCATCGTTTCTCTCCAGGGCCTCAGTTTCCTTATCTATTAAAGTAGGTGGTTGGATTCAATGACTTCCAAAGTCTTTCCTCCCTCAAAATCCCCCCTAAAAACTGTACAACAGACACCCTTGACCTGCCTCTCACATATTTTGTGCTAAGAAATGACCCTCAATGCCAAAGGTCCATGACCACCAAGCTCGCCTCTGCCTAAGAACAAATCACTGCAAGGCAGCTTCAAGCTTCCATGGGCTTCTTGAAAATATAAAGTGTCATGAAATATTTCAAACATCTGATCCTTGTGTTAAAAGATGAGAACGACGCCTCCAAGGAGAAAGTCGGGCCAAATTTCTTTTTTACCAAACCAAGCCCGTTGCCTGGCTCATGGCACAGATATTGTTCTCATTGCCCTGGGAGGCTGTTTTTGTCTCCAATGTTAATGGATTCTATAGTCTAGACTCCAATCCTACTAGGAAATGTCTCTCTTTTTTTTTAATGGAAAGGGTTAGGTTCTTCTTTCACTTTGCTACATTTGCTACAAGGACCAAATGAGATAATACATGTAAAGTGCTTTATCGGTGTTCTAAGGCTATGTAAATGCTAGCTATTATTATCACTACTACTGCCTGTGTGACCTTGAGCAAGTCACCTCCCAGGGCCTCAGCTTCTTCATTTATAATAGAAGAAGGTTGGATGGAGTCCAAATGGTCTCTGAAGTCCTTTCGACCTACAATCCCATGATCCTCTGATCCTCTGTAAGGAGAGACAACTTACCTGGCATGTGCAAACTGTGCAATTGTCATAGAGGAAGGAGGCACCATTATCATAGACATCGCTACGGAAGAGGCAGCTTCCAAACTGGAGGTCAAATACTTTCCTCTGACCTGGGAAGAAGCAGGAATCCAAACTTAAGAAAGAGGGCAAGAGGTTTCCCCCTGGCCATTCCAAAAACAACTCATCTTCCCTAGGGCAGGACCATGCTTAGCACAGGGCCTGGCATATGGTAAATGCTAGCTGATTTAACCTGATGGATGGTTAATAATATCGTAGAGAGGATTCTGGCTCAGATACATCAGCCTAAGTGGCCTGCATGGTGTCTTCCAACTCTGAGATTCTGGGATTCTCTCAGCCCAGTGCATCAAGCAGTAGATGATAATTAGATCATTAGGTTGGCCCTTAAAATGGGAAAGTTAATGTGGGAATGCCCAGAGATTAACAGTGGATGTCAACTCTGGGCTCCACACTCATGAACTTGCTATGAAAACTCTAAGATTTCACAATATGCTAGAGGAAAAGCTTTCTGGATTTGGAATCAAGGTCTGGCTTTGAATCCTGGCCCTGCCACTTGTAGCTGGCATGTCCTTTGGGAAGTTGTTTACCCTCTCTGGACTGTTGTTCCCTCATCTATAAGGTCCAGGGGGCTTTGACTCCATCTTATGCTATGTCTTAAGACCCCACAGAAATCATGGGGGAGTTTACTGTTATTGTTTATGGCCTGGAGGTTTCGGATTAGGATCACAGACTATGAGCCAGACCCCACAGACCACTAGCCTAACATAGGAGGAAATATAGACCCAGAGAGTGAACTGGCTTGCCCAGGATTATACAGGTGGTACGTGGAAGAGCATGGCACCTGACTCCAAAACGATGCCCTTTACTGTCCCTTCCAACACAAAATCTATGGTCATATAGATGTTTATACATTTTATGTGTGTATGCATATGTACATCTATATATTTTTTATAGGTAGATATCTATAAACATGTGTATACACATACATACGTACGTACAGTATGTATATATGTGTATGCATAATGTACATGTGTACATATATATCAACATGGCATAGGATACAGAGCCAGCCTCAGAATCAAAAAGACTTGGGATCAAGCCTTACCTCTGACCCATGTTGGCTGTGTGACCCTGGATAAATTAGTGCACCAAGCAACTCTCTAAGACTAGAAGCCAAAGAAAAGGTATTGACCTGCATTGGTGGAGGGAATTTCCTCACCTGAGAGCTCCCTATATTATGAAATAACAGTTCTATTCTCTCTTCCTATTAAACACACACACACACACCATCCCACATGTCTTAAGGCAGTTTTAAGCTTTAGCACTAAGATCTTGGCAATATCTGATATATATATATATATATTTGTGCCTTGTTCATTTCCCTCATAAAATAAGAATAATAAAATTTGTTCCCAGAAATGGAAGGGAAGATTCATTTGTCCAAAGCATTATTACTTCTGGCTTATGAGTCTTGGTCACTTAATCTGTCTTGGCCTCAGTCCCTCTGCAAAATAAGACAGCTAGATGAGTAGCCTCTAAGGACCCTTCTAAGCTCAAGGTCTTTTATGATCCTATAGTCATTTTTTTTTAGGCAGTTGGGGTTAAGTGACTTGCCCAGGGTCACACAGCTAGTTAAGTGTCAAGTATCTGGTCTGAGGCTGGATTTGAACTCAAGTCCTTCTGACTTCAGGGCCAGTGCTCTATCCACTGCACCACCTAGCTGCCCCATGATCCTATAGTCTTGCAGGCTCCTGGTGAAACCATACCCCTTGATCAAGGGGGTCTTACAGCCTGAACTGCATCTCAGTAGAACAAAATTTGGCTCTAAAAGGAGTGAAGTAGCATAGCCTTTTTCCACCAACAAGTAAAGGCATGCAAAGGTGACAATAAAAGAAATGAGGACAATAAAACAATACCAAAAAGTGGAAGCAAATGGAACTATGAACTGTTGTGTTCAGAGAGTTTACCAAACACAATATAATTATGTGTAGAGAGGATTTTAAAAGATATTAAAAACTGTCCCATGCCTTTCTCCTTAATAGAACTTAATTGAGTTTCATTACTATAGAACAATAATTTATTTCAAAGCTGTTATTGCTGTTTCAAATATTAGTTATCATTACCATTGTTATTGGTGCATTTCATTCATTTCTGCTTACACTCACCCTCCTAATTCCATTCCAACATATGATATGATAGTAAGATAAAGGGCATTTTCTCAGGGCAGAATACAACCAATTGGTCAACAAATATTGATGCAATGCAGGACATTGAGGCTACTCTCAAGGAGATTAGCTGACACGTCTGATGCCCACTCCTTGAACTATCACCTCCCAAACCTCCAGGAATCAGAAGGCTGTGCGTCCACTACTCTTGGCTCCCTTTATCAGCTTATTTGTCTGACGACATAAGATAAAATAAATGGGGGGAGTGGGTGGGAGACAACTCATCTCCACTCTTTGCGTGGGTTTATCAGTCCGCTACTACAATCTAGAAAATGGTGAAGGGACGTTCTAGCAATTTGCCAGTTGGATAAAGCTTGGTCTCGGTGTCTATAAGGCAGGCGCACCTTATTCCCCACCACAGTGTCTTTGTGGGGAATTGCTTGGAAGTTGCTGCCGCTGAAACATCACAATAATTTGTTGCTTTATCTTAGAAATGAAGCGGAAATGCTTATGCCGCTGCTTCTACTGGGAGCATGAGGAAGCTTTCTGGGTAGTCCCATCCAGGCAAGAGATCAAGCCCACAGGAAGTCATTTGATTCCATGGTCATTTTCCTTTTCCTCTCATTCTGTCGCTTTCTCCTCTTTTCCTCTTGGATTGAACCTCGCACACACTCATCTCTTTTAAGATCTCTGTCTAACCTCTCCTGGGTGCATTACAAATGCCCCGGTCCAGCCAGAGTCCTCACATTCCTGTTAATACAATCCTTGTGGTTAGGCGCCAGGCATTCTGGAACACAAGCAGAGCTGGAAACGTCCATTAATGTCAAGGGTGATCATCTCTGCATGTCCTATTATATTTAAATAGTTCTACTCACTGGGTATAGTGTTTCTTCTGGTTCTGTTTGCTTTGCTCTGCTTTATTTCATATGCATCTGCCCACATTTCTTTGATTTCCTTATATTGCAATATCTACCTTTTAATTTTGGAAAACCAGATAAATTTTAATAAAATTCATGAAAGCCTTATCAACTACTTTTTAAAAATATCCTCTATTAATTTGCTCTATACTTACAATTTTATTAATTTTTCCTTTCATCTCGATGATTTCTGATTCTGTCTTTGTCTCAACATTTTAATTTGTTGAATTTCTAGTTATTTTAACTGAAAACAACTCGCTTTATGTTTTTTTTCTCTTTTTGTAATGAGCAAATGTGAATATTTACCAAAACAAATTTCACTTCTGAGGATCCGTTTATGCTCAATAACCTGATATGTTTTACCCTTCTGATACCCCAGTAGGATGTGGGCGTGACGCTGGCTCTTGAAGATTATGCCCAAAAGGCATGACCTCTAGTAGGTCTGACCTATCAGGGCTTCAGGAACAATCTTGATATTGGTCTGCAGCTATACAAGCACCAGCCAAGCTAAGTATGAGGAAGGTTAGTGCCAGGAGGGAGGCCACTAATTGATGAATTCTTTGGTCAAGGTGGCCCATGAATCAAAGTAAGATACAAAATGGCCCTAGGTCCTTCTGCAGTGAATGGAGAAGAATGATTGACAATGAGGTAAAAGGCGATAATACTATCTTAGGCTTGGGTTGTTGTTGGGTTATTTTTTTTAATCGAATTGGCATCATGCATGCAAAGGCAGTAAGAAGCATAATTTCATTGTAGGAATGTCATTTCTCCCTGCAGGCCAATTACGGGCACAACCACAGAGAATACCATGAAGATAACTACTGCATGCACGTGCACAGAGAACAGAGCTATAGAGAAAGCTGAGTCTAACCAGAGCTTCCCAGATACTGATACTCAGTGACTTCAGACTAATGGTAGGAACTAAAGATGATGGTGAAAAAATATTTTGGAAAATGTGGTTAGTGATTAAGGAAAGAGAAAGATCAAAAGCTTCCAGTTTAGTCAGAATCTTCCACTTGCATGTCATGAATACCTTCTTCAAGAATAGAGAAGATAGGGGGCAGCTAGGTGGTGCAGTGGATAGAGAACTGGCCTTGGATTCAGGAGGACCTGAATTCAAATCCGGCCTCAGACACATAACACTTACTAGCTGTGTGACCCTGGGCAAGTCACTTAACTCCATTGCCTAGACAAAAAAAAAAAAAGAACAGAGAAGATAGGGGCAGCTAGGGAGTGCAGAGGATAGAGTACCAGCCCTGAAGTCAGGAGGACTTGAGTTCACATCTGGTCTCAGACCAAACACTTGATACTTCCTAGCTGTGTGACCCTGGGCAAGTCACTTAACCCCAAATGCCTAAAAATAAACAAACAAACAAACAAAAAGAATAGAGAAGATCCTGGGCACTGCACTCAACATTAATTAACTAAACTTTGACAGATTTTTAAAATGCCTAATGTGGCAGTAATTTTTCATTTAATTGCCTGTGAACAGTCAAATCATCAATTGTCCAATTTTCCTTAATTATCCTTTTATCCCACTAAAGATTTTTCTATCTCTCATCTTGGGTGACAGAGCAGGGCTTTAAACCCTGAGTCTTCTTCTCCAGAACCCATACTTTCCCTTTTCTTTGAGGTCGTTTTGCTTTTGAAGCTTTCTGGTTATCCTTTTTCTTTTCTCTGCACAGCTGCTACTAGTTTCTTAAATGGTGGTATTAAGTTGGGAAAGTGGGCTGTCTTTGCCCCCTCATTCTGTGTTCTGCGCTGGCCGAGGAAGAAGAGATGAGGCAAAGTGCTCTTTATTACACCTCGTAGCACATACCATGTGCTCATATACATGTGAGCTTTACATGCATGACCTTGATTACTCCTTTTCATACCTGCTAGCACATACCTACACGCTCACAGAAGGCTTTACATACATGACCTTAATTGTTCCTCTCAACCACCCTATAAGGTAGGTATAAAACAGGTTATTTTACAGCGTTAATTAAGAGCTAGTGTTTATATCGTGCTTTAAGATTTGCAGAACACTTTCCACAGCTTATTGCATTTGGGACAGTTAAACTACTGATTTTGAGATGGATCTGAGGATCTGGAACTGGATGCGATGTAGAGGCCTTCCAATTCCACCCTTCACTTTAGAGAGGGGGAAACTAAAGTCCAGGGAAGTGAAGAGACTGTAGGAGCCTTTGGTCCAACTCCTCACTTTACAGATGAGGAAACTAAGGCTCAGAGAAGATGGATGATCTGCCTAAATCCACAAAGAAAGGAAGTGACAGATTATGGTTTTGACCTCAGGTTTCTGTCTCCAAATAATGAAAGCTGAGCAAGGGAAATGACTCAGTATAATTCATCATATACTTCATGGGAAGTAGTTCAGTTCCAAGGAAATCAACAGGAAAGTGGTGCCCAGACCTCCACCAACTCAGCTGGTGTGAGATTTCAGGATGCTGGAGATAGGTTGGTTTTACTTTCAAGACACATCACCAGAAGAACAGCCAGTCTTACCCTAATACCCAGTCTATGCAAATCCCGAACAAAAAAGGACATTTTTGTTTAGAAACACTCAAGAATAGCCCCAAATCTTCATATCTGGGCTACCCTGGGGCATTTCTACTTACTTCCACTTTGGATTTAGCCTAACCCCAAGAAACTGTCCTCTTTTCTTTCAGTTACAATTGTTGGATTTTCCTGAGACTTACTGATCTTTTTGTGGCCTATCTTATGACAACACACACATACACATAGATACATAAACACACATACATGTGCGCACACACATACACACTCAGAATGCCCACATTCGGCACACTGGCCTTTGCTCGTATGAGAAACTATAAGGCAGGGAAAACTTTTTGAGATTTCTGGGTTCAACCATATCAGCTTCAAAGAGCTAATTGGTCTGGTTCAAGGTTATAAAAACACACTGAGAAAATGAAAAGCACTTGAGAAAATGAAACCCCTAAATTAGCTCTGAATGGCTCCCCTCTGGTTCTGCCCAGGCTCTGTGTTCCTGATCTATTCCTTGATTATACATAAGCCATCAGACATGAGAGTGGGGGAGGAGAAAGGAAGAAAGAGACAATAGAGAGAAAGGGGGAGGAATGAAGAAGGAAGGAAGGAAGGAAGGAAGGAAGGAAGGAAGGAAGGAAGGAAGGAAGGAAGGAAGGAAGGAAGGAAGGAAGGAAGGAAGGAAGGAAGGAAGGAAAGGAAGGAAGGAGGGAGAGACGGAGAAAAAAGGAAAAGGAGAATTGATAGAAGGAAGGGAGGAAAGAAGGAAGAAAAATGAATAAGAAAGAAGGAAGAAAGGGAAGATGAAAGGAAAGAAAATAAAGGAAGAAGAGAAAAGAAAAGAGGAAGAAAGCAAGAGTGAGTGAGAAACAGAGATAGAGAGGGAAAGAAACAGAGAAATGTTTCCAGTGACTTAAGACCCACGAGCATTGCAGGTCCCACCATAAGCGCCACTGCCTTCCTGTTGTTTATAGCTTGCACAACAGGCCCCCAAAAGAGCCATTTCAGAACTCTTCATGTACCATGCTGGTTTCCTGTCCTATCTTGCCCAAAACAACAAACTCTGGGTGATGATATTAATTGTGCCCTCCACACTCCCTCTCATATATGGCATGCAAGACAGCATGGGGTGGTGGAAATGAGGCAGACCTGGACTCTGGAAGACTCGGCTTCTGATTTGCCCGTAGCCCCTTCCTAACTGTGTGTCCTGGGTGAGTCGTGTCCCAGCTCTTGAGCCTTGACATATTCCCTGGGACTTCTCTACTGAATCATGACTGAACTATAATCTGCAATGCTGGAGAGAGTTCTCCAATCTAGAATCTCCAATGTGGAAGCCACGGAGCCTTGGTGGAGTCATATTATTCTTACACTATCCATACCTGAGGCTGTCGTGAGGCTTATACTCTCACTCATTTCATCTGTGATTTCACCAGTGGAGAAGATCCCAGTGTGGGACTTCTCTCTGCCAATGAACTATGACACTCTCTATTAAGTCTCTGACTTAGTAATATTATGTACTGATACCTAACTCTTAGGGAGGTGCTTGAGCATCATAAAGGTTAATTGACTCTAAGACAGTCACATGGGAAGCAATAAATTGGGTTTTCTGGATCCTAAAGTACTTTGGGAATAACAATACTAGCAGTAACTGTTGTTGTTACGATCATTACTATTAGTATCAGTTGCTCCAGACTTGTGATTGCATGGATATAATGAACTATTGTGGCAGCTAGGTGGTGCAGTGAATAGAATATGGGGCCTGGAAGACACAGAAACGTAGAAGCAGCTGATCCTCAAACTGTGAACTGCGTCAGTTTCACTGAGCCCGACAGAATACCAAGGGCAGACAGGAGCCAAGCTTCTCAAGCAGGGAATGTGCTGTGTGTGCCAACTGGCTGGTAAAGAACACGGGAAGACGGGAAGGGAGTTACCTGGGAGGGTAACTCAAAGTAAATTACCGGTCAATGTACAACGTACAAGAAATGTCACTCACCTACACATCGGGGGCAACACTGGCCTGGTGGAGTCTGACTCAGGTGCTCAGGACATGACAGAATCGGGCAGACTTCTCTCATGCACTGTGTCTGACCTCCCTAAAAAGAAAACAGACTTCATTAAAAATAAAACAACATCCAAGAGATAAGTCCCGAGCAGCTCTAACAGAGTTCCATATCAGAGCAGAGTGCCTGGCAGTGAAGATTGTTCAATATAAGATTAGTTAAGCATTTTTAATAAATGCTTTTTCATTCAATCATTCTCTGATTCATTCATTCATTCATCTGTCACTTTAGGGAACTCCCAGTGTGGTACCTCACTCCACCAATGGAGCATGAAACTCCACTGAGTCTATGACTCCATGGAAAATTTCTAGGGATTTAATTGAGGCTAAGAGAAATTAAATTATTTTCACTGAGTCACACAGCTACCAAGTGTCAGTGATGGGGCTAGAACCCAGATCTTCCTGATTCCAAATTCTACACTGTATTCACCACAGCACACTGACCCTCAAATAGCAGTGGGCTCAGTGAAATCTTTTTCCCTAAAAATACCAAATGAATGCAGATGAAGGCCAAAATCAAGAGATGATGAAAGAGAAATAGCTCTTTGATTTTTAAAAGGAAAGAGGGATGTGACAAGTCCTTCTCTTTCCAACCTTGACATTGACACTAGTGACTTTAAACACCCGGAAGGGAAGGGAATAAACATTTATTAAGTGCTTACTATAGCCCAGCATTGTGCTAAGTGCTTCACAAATATTATCTCAGCTGATCTGTATAGCCTGTAGAGTTTCTTCACTCCATATCTGAATTCAATGTACATGTAGACGTTGCTGTATGACTGTGAATATCAGGATTAGGAAAAGGGGAAACAGAAGAATTGGAGTGGAAGGAGAAAGCTGGCTGTCCTGACATCCTGTGGATACTTCAAATGTCCAAAATGGCTTTCATCGCCTTTTCAAAGAAATCCTCTCCCCCCCAACACCTTCCCTATTACTGTGGAGGCCAGCACAATCCTCCCAGTCTCTCAGGCACACAACCTAGAAGTCATCCTGGATTCCTCACCCTCTCTCACCAGCCATATCCAATATGGTTCCAAAAACTGTCGATTTCACCTTTGCAACACCTCTCAAATACACCCCCTTTTCTCCTCTGACCTGGCCCCTTCCCCAGTGCAGACTCTCATCACCTCACACCTAGATTATTGCAATAGCTTCTGGGGGGGGGGGCTCTGCCTGCCTCAAACCTTTCCTCACTCCAATGCATCCATCCTCCTTCCAGCCGTTAAAGCACAGGTCTGATCATGTTATTCCCCTACTCAATAAACTCCAGTGGCTCCCTATTGCCTCCAGGATCAAATACAAAATCCTCTGTTGGCATTCAAGGCCCTTCTTCCTAATCTAACCTCTTCTCCCTTTCCAGTCTTCTTTCACCTTACTCCTCCCATGTAATCCAGTGATAATGGCATCCCTGCAGTTTCCCTGAATAAGATAGTCCATCTCTCCAATCCATTTTCATTGGCTGTCCCTATGCCCAGAATGCTCTCCCTCCTTGTATCTGTCACCTGGTTTCCCTGCCTTCCTTCAAGTCCCAGCTAAAAACACATGTATTACAGGAAGCCTTTCCTAATGCAGCATTGACTAGTGCCTTCTCTCTGTTGATTATTTCCTATTTTTCCTATACAGAGATGATTTCTTCAGAACAGGGGCTAGATTTCTTTTTGCCTTACTTTGTACCCCAATGCTTGGCAAAGTGTTTGGCACAGTGTTTGGGACATAGTAGGTGCTTAATCAATACTTGTGCTGACTGGCATTTCTTCTTATTTAATTGGCTAAATCCATTGTTTCTTCCACTGTAGAGTTTCAATGACTAGATAAGAAGTAAACAGTGTCCAAAATCAGTTTCCCTTACTCTGTAAAAACCTTCAACTTTTTAGGTCAGTAAAGCTATTGCAGACTATTTATACAGGTTTCAAAACAATGTGTCTTGAAGACTAAAATCATGAGACTTCACTATCCTAAGTATTATCTCATTCATGGGTGGAACGTTGTTTCTTCTTAATATTTCTCATCTTTGTAAGCCTCGACAACTCGGATCTTTCCCCATGCTGGTAAGCCAAATTCTGAACTACTACTAAGGACTGTGCTTTTAATGATTTTGGATCCACCACAATCAGCTGTGCCAGGTGCCACCTGATGGGCCCAGATAAATTAGTCCTACATGGGCATACTGAAAATGAGTGACTTAAGTGCACAACAGACATTCAGGATCTATGGCTTTTCCCACCTGCAAATACTCCTGTCATCTGATTCCTGCCCAGATGCCTCAGAAGCCTCCAAATCGCTACTTTCCACCAGTGAATGTTTCTGCCTATGATATTTCATGGCACCTCATGATCTCTTCCATGGATTAATTCATGTCAGGAACTGAGGCTTAGATTCTATACCATCCTGCCCCCTCTCTCAGGTCTGGACTGGATCGCCAATGAACCCATGGACACCTTCTCATGGTTCTTACCAGCTGACCAATTCCTTCCCTTGCCAAGCTGCTGCATGAAGCAGTTGGGCTAAGAACCAGGGGGGAAAGGAGGCTGCTTTCTGTGTAGGGGGCAATGCCAGCCTCTGTTGTCACATTGAAGTGACCGCCCTCAAGAAAGAGACTATCTGACTGTAGACGGGTGGTTCATTCTTTTTCCACTGAGTCTCTCCAGGATATTCTCAGGGCATACTAACAAAATGGCATGCATCATGGTCCAAGCATGGACGGATGTATAAGGTCTTTCATCCCAATCAGAAAACAAAGGTCTAACTCTCATGACTGACTGACCAGGTCCCCCAGTAGAGGATAGTCCTCATAATTGAAGATGGTCTTCTACTGAGAGATCTCAGAGAATTTATTGCTGGGATCTAGTGGACCCCTGGAGTCCTACAATAGCCAACAACTACCTATTAACAAATTGTAGAGGGCCATAGTAGGTCCATACTAAAACTTGCCTGTAATGGCATAGCCCCAGTGGACTAATTCAATCACAGATCTCTGACTCTAATCAACAGGAGGCATTGTAGTACAACAGGCTCTGGCTCTGAAGTCAGAGGATATGGGTTCAAATCTTGCCTCTGACACTTACTACCCATGTGACCATTGACAAGTCATTTGGCCTCTATGGGTCTCCGTTTCCTCATTGGCAAAATGAGTGGGTTGGACTAGATGGCCTCTGAGATCTTCTTCTAACTCCAGACCCAGGATCCCACAGTAAGGAGACTTTGCCTGGGATGAGGAGATCACTCTTCTGTCAGATTTTATATGAAAGCCTTCCATCTTTGGAAAAGCCCAAATAAATTAAAATTGGAGGGAAAGCCAGGCTTCTCATTCCAAGTATCCAAATTGTATGAAACCCACTCAGAATCACTTTAAATAACCAATAAAGAAAAGAAAGCCTTGTCCCTTTCTAATTGCTATGGGCAGGGTGAAATGGATGGAAGAAAATACTGTTATCTTTGTCGTTGTCTTAAATGTAAATAACCCAATTACAACTAGGTTAACTGCCCCTACCCAGGACTTGTGGAACCAGGTTGGGAAGGAAATGAAATGACTCTACAATGACAGGGTCCTCAATGGAACTAATCCTCCTCCAGGGCAGTACACATTTTCCTATCCCTTAAGCTAGAACTCCCCCATGGTGAGCTGCCTTAGGTCAAGTTGTGAATGGACTCCAGGGCAAGAGGTAGCACCATGGTCCTTGCAAACATCCCCAAGACTGTACTCTTAATAGAGAAGACCATTTACAAGTCAATCAAACATTTATTAAGGCCCCACCATGAAGAAGGGCAGAAATATAGAAACAAAACCAAAACAATCTACCTATGAGGAGCTCCCATGTTCTATGGGAGAGATAGCATATGTGTATGTGTGTATACATGAAGTCAACACAAAAAATTATTTCTGAATGGAAGATACCATATCTGCCCCTCCAAAAAGAGAGGATAACTTCTCATGGTATGGGGGATTCAAAGATAGAATAACTCCAGTGGCTGATGTTGGCTGGACAATCAGCTGGCTTTCACTGCACCATGAGCCTTCTACTCACCCATTACCAAGACTATACAATGTATAGTCCCCCTTCATTCATTTGCTCACAGTGGGGGAAAGGGAAGGGAATGAGTATTTCTTAAGCACAAACGATATGGCAGGCCCTGTGCTAAGACTTTACAAATGTTATCTCTTTTGATCCTCATGACAGCCCTGGAAGGTGCTGTTATTATCTTCGTTCTATAGTTGAGGAAACTGAGATGAACAGAGGTTAAATGACTTGCCCAGAGTCACACAACCTGTAAGTATCTAAGATGGGATTTGTACTTAGGTCTTCCTAGTCCAAGCCCAGCCCTCCACCTGCTGTGCTACCTAGCTGCCAGCTCAAATCTCACTTCTTCTGCCATGACCACACCAATTCACAATGCCCTCCTCTTCTTCTGAACTGACCATTGGCTGGACCACTCATTGAACAAGTCATCCCAGCCCCATAGACAGAGCTGGAAGGGACCTCAGGTCATCTGTTCCAACCCCCTAATTTTACTGGTGAGCAAACTGAGGCCCAGTAAAGAGAAATGTTACTGTTCATACCCAGGATCCCACAGAACACTCTACTTTTGTCCTTCTCTTGGTGCTGTGACTCATCAGTTCTCCCATCCCTTTATTGGCTACCAATAATAATTATGAAACTGGTGATGGCTTTTACCTAGGCCTTCCTGTCTCCCTACAATCCCTTCTCCAGACTGTGTCTCGGCAGGACCAGAAATCTAGTAGCCGAGGCCGCCATCCCACCCTCTAGTCACACCAGGCTCAGCAGGGCCCTCCAGGACAAGTAGAAATCCCAAGACATCCTGGCCTCCCTCCACCTGCCTCCTTCAACCCAAATGCATAATCTTGAAGTGAGAGTCCTCTCAGCAGATTCAGAGAGGTCACCTATTCTAAGTCAGAAGCTGAAGTTTGCGCCAAGATGGCCTGTGGGACACAAAAGTCAGAAAAGAAACCTAGCCAAACCCCAGGATCACTTTTACAGCCCCATTTGTTCTATCTCTCCTGCTCCCACACCGCCA